CAACTTTAATCGAATTTAAAATTGAATAACTCACATGTGCTGATATAATTATCAAAATTTTAGTTCATAATCTTTTTATCTAAAATTGAAAGAACAAAGTAAAATCTTAAAAAATATATAACGTTAGTAATTTTCTAATACATTAAGCTAAAAAATGGTGAGATAGTGTTGTGTTTCGTTAATGCCATGAATGTTGAAGTGGAGGATAAATACACGTTGACACGCAAAAGATAATAGGACGACATATACACATTGAGAGGCGAGTAAGCATCGGAGGACAAGTATTCTGGAGGGAAAGTGCATATTAGAGGGTTGGTACAACAATATTTCAATGTTGGGGACGGTGGAGAGACTTGAGCTTGCAGGACGACGATGGTAATTGTGTATGGCGGATGCCAGCAATATTTGATACAGAGGACGACAAAAGTACTTGAGTATAAAGGACAACAATATATAAGACTTGATATGGAGGACAACGACAAGACTTGAATATACATTGAGGACGAAACCACACAATTCAACAAAAGATGAAATATAAAGACACGTGGAAATAACAACAAACAACTTTAGTAAGTGAGAGTATAAGGGACATAAATGACTTTGAACTGGGGTAATGTGACGATAGTAAAGGAGTGAAATTAAAAGGCTGCCTAAAAAGGGTATGTACTAGAAATGTGACTGGGCACTAAAGGTAAAATTCACCCCTATCTTTATACTATTCAATATTATTTATTTTAATATTTTTACTTAATTATAATACAAAATACATTTTATATTATTAAATATTAGAAAAAATCAATTATTTTATTTAATATCTGATTAATTATATGGTGATACGTTGTTAATAAAAACAAAACAAAAAATTTATTTATTTTAACATTTACTCATACATGATTTGTTTTACATGATATCTTGATAGAAGAATTAAAATAAATAATATTTAATAATGTAAGTACACAAGATCAATTTCATCCACTAATTTTTTAAAAAAGATATTATGCTAGAGAGAGGTAAAGTATGGATTTTAATGAGAGAGCGTGTGAATGATGTGGATATTAAGAATCTTCGCAAATGAGATAAGTAGGGTTTCATTATAATACAAGGAAATGATACTTAACCTTTGGGATGCTGTCAAATGCCCTAGTGATTGACAGTTGGATTGGCGCTATATATCTAAGAAGACACCTGGTTATTGGATGACAAATGATTATAAAAGATCAATGAATCATCCTTAATGATCACCATACCCAATCTCTTTAATCATTCCAATAGCCCAAAACCTAATCAAGGATCGTGCCACAAATCCGCGACTAGTTTGGTATGATCCTGCCTTATTTCATGACCAAGTCATTTAATTGGTCCATCAAAATTGATGATCTAGAAAAAAAAAGTAAAGAAATATGTTAATTGCAACCACAGACTTCGATCTTAAATTGATTCATAATGTAAGCTTGATTGTGAAAGCCACAACAACCATTTACAGCAAGAGAAAACAAGTGCCATTCCTTTGGGAAATCTGATAGAACTGTAATGTTAAAGAAGAAAAACATATATACACTTCTGGGTAATAATATAAGCAAATTGACATCGTAGATAAGAAATAATATGCTTCAAGTGGGAAGCATTGGCATGTCATGGATGCAAGTCTGGAGTACTATATATTAGCCAATGACAATGTTGAAAGAAAAACTTAAAAGCTATGGTTTGGTTAAAATGATTATTTCATTTTTGTGAATGAATTAAATAGGGGCAGTGAGATAAAGATCTCTTTAGCAAACATCAAGAGGATAAGAGATTATGCAGCTAATGCAGAAGTGCTACTGTAAAATAAACCAAATTCTCATATATATATATATATATATTCAAAGCATTTTTACTTTTGTACCTTAATTTTTAATTTTAGCAAAATTAAAATGAGGTTACAGCGATGTAGTCCAGGAGATAATGCATAAACCATAATCATTTTGATGGAAATCAAAGGAACTTCTGGAAGATTGTTCTCAATTAGTTCTGAGAATGTATCAAGGAAAAAAAAAAACACTAGGGCATGTGGAAAATCGCAAGGCAAACCAAAACTATTATCAAGAGAAAGGACATGTAATCCAAAATCTCCGATTTTTTGGACATGAAATATCAAAACCATGATCATGTAAAAAAGGAAGAGTAAAAAGTTTTATGTATTTAAACTGCTGAACTTGGTCAAACAACAGGAGTTGTTTCAATTATTTGTAGATTATTGCAACCACACAGTAACTTACTGTCTCTTAGTTACTAGACTAAAATGTAGTCCCAAAAAATACATGAACGTGCATGGGCTCAAAAACTAATGGTAGATAATTGGATGTAAACTAAAGAAGTTCCATTCCAATGTAAACTAAGAGGGAATTTAGTAGGGAAACCAAAAAAATAAGTAACTTTATGACAAAGAACAAAGCAATCTGATCTGTACCTTAGGCCTTAAAAGAGCAGAACTTCAAAGATCTTGAGAAAACTACATAATAAGTTATATGACTGACCATATGAGCTAATTACATCCAATATATCTTATATATCCTGCAAAACAAATTCTCTCCTTCTGATCAGGACAGACTAGTGGGGGCAACTCTACTTGAACTAGTTGATCATGTGGTTCCAGTTCCACACGGAAGTGAGAGTAGTCTACAAAGTGGAACATGGTGAACAAAATCTTGGAAAATTAATTGCAAACTGCAAACAACATCTAAAGGCCAATGATAGATTGCTCTAAATTAATTTGCTAAAAGGAACATCTTGAATCACAAAACTTAAAATAAAATCATATATACAAAAAAACAAGTCGTAAAATAGTGGGCCTAAAAGTTTGCCGACCATTATTGTGCCAAATTTTCACTTCCAGTACTACTGCCTTGTTTCGGATTCATAAAGAAGGAGGTCAGATGAGAGGATTGAAACCATGGGCATATCCCCCTACTGGGCATGGAATATGTGAACCAAGGATTAAGACAGCGATGGAGGCACACAGATCCCTACAATCTTGAAATGACTCAGTTATCACTGTCATGGATAATAAGAAAAAATGAGACTAAATTGCAAAATCTCTGAGGTTACCACCATTGAAAGAGGTGACAAATAGGTGGGGCGAAAAAGTCTGCAAAAGAGTAGGGCTATATGTCAAGGGTCCAAGTTGCAAGATAGATGGTCCACCAACAAGATTAATCGGTACAGATTTAATGCCAAAGCCAACATAATGGCAGTGAGAATGTGACATGTTCCCACGGATTTGGCATACCAAAGTCCTCAAAGCTTTTAATAATTTTCAAGGATCTACTGATTCCAAAGACAAAACCATTTGGAAGAATGTCCATTAAATAATCAAGTGTATTTTGAATCATTTCTAGTGAAGACAAAGTGGGATGGACAACACTCGCAAACTCCAGTAAAGCTATTTTAGCTGATATAATCAGAAACCCCATAAAGTACAAAATCTGATTAAAACTACTAACTTTTTTTTCTTCTTATCCTTACCGATGTTATCAGCTTCTGCTTGAATGCTCTCTACTACCTGTCTTATCAGACTCTAAGGGGCAATGTCTATCGGCCAAGAAAGAACCTCCATCTTTAGTCTATACACATATTTGTTGCTTTGCCTTCTGTACAAATGACAATTCAAAAGTACCACTCAAAACAACATTAATCTTTGAAACAGATCAAAGATCTGTAAAGGATCTAAAATCAAACACCCAGAAAAGGAAACAGTATGGAGTCCAGTAAATATACCTCTTTAATTCCAATATTTTATAATTAGGCTCATGTAGCTACTAGCATCATCAAGGGTATCAAGGCACTCTCTCTCCCTCATCTTTCTTGCTTGCCTATTGACAAAGTTACCTATCACATCTGCAACAAAAGAATATAACAGAAAAGATACCATTTGCATCGCTGAATATTTTCCTGGGCATACTGAATATTTTCCTCGGATGGAATAATCATAGATCTGCTAAAGTCAGCAAACTGTAAAGAAATGAATATGTATGTATATATATTGACCTCAAATCCAAAGATAGAAATAGAAACACTACTAAATATACTCACCTGACAGTAACAGAAAGGAAAGTAGCAAGAAAGGAAAAGGAATCGGCTTTGCTGTTGATCAGCAGTTACAAAGTGTCACAACTGTTTTTTCCTCTTTTCAATTCCTTTTGTGTTGTATAGTCGTTTATTGCCGATGCAGCATCATCAAGATTCTCACTTCCAAAGTACTTTGGCAGATGATCGAAAAAAAAAAGAGAAAGATTTAATTCTAACATCTCCGGCCGTGCATTTGCATGTGAATCTTGATGATGCTACACCCGCAAACAACGCCTGTCAATATTTCCATGCACAACAAACCCTTTAGGCTTCAACTCCATACCCATATTTATACATACTCTCTACAAGGTTTCAAGATTCAAATTTAGCTGAAGCTAGGAGAAACAAATATATCTAATAAAATTCATGTTAAGGACAAAATAAATAAATAAATAAAATATTGGACAACACATAAGCATAGCATACCAACAAGCCCACGAGCACGAGCTGATGTGGCCTGTTACTACTGGTTAAGACCAAAAGGGAATGCGTGAAGGGGATTGCCCGAGAAAGAATCCTACAACCGTGTTTAACTCCGAACTTTATAACAAGACAACCTTTTTTGGACATCAAAAATAAAATAATAATTTTTTATATGAGATAAGGGAAAAAAATGAAACAAATGGAATCTAGGATTAACAAGCTTTAGTAATATGGATAATCGTAGATTTTTAGTTAGATGGGTCAGATTTCTCCGGCTAGGTTCTGACAAAAACACAGTACTCTGGTGGTGTGTGGTAAGACTGAAGAGTACCCTCATGTCAGATTCCGGCCAAAATCACATAAAAAGAAAGAGAAACCATCTGGATTGTTCCCTTCTTTCAGCTGCATCAGCTCAATCCTTCATTAAAAAACAAAAAAAGAAAAAAAAAGAAAAAAGAAAAAGAGACAAGATGTTAGCTTTCTTGAGAGATAGAGAGAGAAGAGGACTCAGGAGGATAGCAACAGTGGAGGTACTGATTGAGAGGTATATATACACAGATGAGGGCTGGAACTTAATTATTTTATTATTACTAATGGTTTTTAATTTTAATTTTATCTTTATCTTATTACTTTTTGTGCTTTTACTACTATATTTGTAGGTTTTGATTGGTAGATGCTTAGCTGTATAGTACTGTACCAGTATTGCTGCAGTTACCGATCGCCATCTTCCCCAAACCCTAGTTTTTATGTGGAGGGCTTATGCAATGAAGTCGACCTCCTGCCTTTACCGTGCGCTCCACCAATTGCTACTAGCCCTTTTACAATTTTTTTTTTTTTTTTAAAATTATACTCCCTCCATTCTTAACAGATTCTCCAATCAAAACATTAAATCATGTCTTTCTTTACAATAATGATTTTACTTAAAACCGATTTCCAAAGACACCTACAATTAAAAAGAGCAAGTTTTAGGAATATATATATATAACTGTCATAGAATCTCACTTACCAATTTAAATTTTTGAATTGATATTTTTTATAATATGATATTAGGGTTTTGTTGCAAATAGTTAAATATTCTGATTCTATCATTTCTGTTTTTTAAATTAAAATTAAATAATTACGTATTTTAAGTCAAAAATAGTTTTTATTTAATAAAAATTAATATAAAACTAATTATAAAATCTCACTTAACAATTTATCATTTTGAGCTGAGATGTTTTTCTTAATAATATAAACTATCAATTAATGAATTGTTTTAATGTATGTGAAAATTCAAATATAAGAATGTATTTAAAATATTAAAATTATCATATTGTAGGTATGCTAATTCAACTTACTAAATATCTGTGGATAACCAATCATAAATTACATGTGACAATGTAAATTTAAAACATTTTTTTTTTTTGTTTTTTTTATAATTTTTTTTACTGTAGTAGTACTTTATCCAAAAACAAGCAATTTATTATGAGATCCATTATTTTATTTAATAAAAAAATAAGGTAACTTTTAAAAGCACTACGAATGCTTTGAACTTTCAATACAACTCAGAACATAACAATATGACAATTAAAGCACTATAATATCATAGAGGCAGGAACATGATATTGAATTTTTTATTTTTTATTTTATTTTTTATCAAGTAGTCAGGAAAATGAACTCCATATGATATATACCCACAAGGTTTTATTTCAATGCGTATTCTTGGAATCTCATGCCCTAAAACCTTGACCCATCAATTGCATTTAGTCATTATAAATCAAATGAATTGAAATATGAATTTGAAGATGTAACGCTTAGAATAGATGCTATCAGGGTATGATCTAGTCTCACTTTTTTCCCTTTCCTGTCACACACAGGCAGATTTCGTTCTTTCTCTCTCCTTTTGCTCATGAAAAAAATTATCATAATAACCATGATTGCTAATCAAAGTTGGGTTTTTTAAATAAATATTTGTACTGGCATACTATGGTTTCTAGCTAACCTATCATTTTCGTCCAATTAAATGATGGTGCACATTAAATCCAGGTATGTTTTGGCAGAAGAGAAGTAAACTTTCACTATTGATCAATGAATATTGTGTAAAAGAGATTGATATGCAAAAATGAAAAACTATCGTAATGAGTTCTAAACTCAAACAATAATCAAAGGATACGTGACTTTTGATAGCTGAAGATGATAGAAGATGGAGATAACTATGTAGTATACTTGAAAAGAAAGTCCCTTTAGTAGGTTGAGGGATTATCCAATGATAAAATTTAATTATTAGAGATTTTATTTATTTATTTATTTATTTATTATTATTATTATTATTATTTGTATATCTCTCGTATGATTACTAGAGACTATGAATAGTATGTATAATATTTTTAGAGTTTAGGGTTAGAAATCTAGAATTCTTGGTAGTTTGGGTTTTTATATAGATGATGTTTCTTTCAAGTTGTATGGTGGAAGAGGTAGAATAATTTATTCCATTAATATCGATATTTTCTAATGCCATGTTAGAGAGCTTTTGTCATTTGATGTGACTTATTGGTGGTTTGGCGATGACGGTAATGATGCGGACATTGTTGATGTGACAAAAAGAGGTTCTCAAAACTTGTCTTCATTTAATGAGGGTTTTCGAGTCTCTTGGTGGTCGTGAGTGCTTGTCTCCAACTCGTAAATTAAGAGACGGGTTTAACAATTCGTCCATCAATTTCCCAAATGAAGAGGGCCTTTTGATTTCCATCCTTGATGAGATGTCCTTCGGTCACCTTGTCCTTATTTGGTCCCATTATTTTTCTCGAGTACATCAACTATCCCCCACAAGTCTTTGAAATTTGTGATGATGAGGACTTGCTTTCTTGGGATGGTTATAAGCCTTGCAATGTATCACCAATTTCCAATTGGATTCACGGCGGTGGCCATCATTGGTTTATTCTTTGGAAGGAGCCTCGTTTTAGGGGAGCCTAACATATCACATGTTAGGCTTTGAGGGAAGGCTAACGATTTTTGTCACTTTGAGATCTCCAAGTGGTCGCCATTAATCATGTCACGTCTCTCTTCTTGTAAAGTCACAAATTCTTCTCTCGTGCTTATTTTGTTCTATCATTTCTTTTGATTTTGCTATTCTCGCTCCTTCTTGCTTATAGTGTGATTTTCAATGAAAGCCTTTTAGTATTTTAGAGTATTTGAGTTGATTCTTATAATAAAGCTCATAGATACTTTATATATTTCTTCTTCTTCTTTTTGGTGACTTTAAGATTGTGAAATAAACTTAGTTTTTTTTTGGCTTTTCCCATCCGAAGAGAAGTTTTTCATTCAAGTAACTCTCTTTTGATTTTGTTATGTTACAACTAGTAGAGAATATAACCAATACGAGATAGGGTTAGATATTACTCTAAATCCACCTTAACTAGTAGACCTAAGAACTTCGAGCGTGTATAAGTGACAAGGATTCTTTTTTAAGTCGTTATATTAGCCAAGGTACTTTTGATAGCATCTTTCCTAGTAAGATAGATGCTATTAGGTTTAGAGGATACAAAGATTAGTTAGGTTCCGTGTAAGAAGCAAAGGCTCTTCTTACTAGCGATAGGGTTAATGCCTAAACCTCTAAGGCTAAGGAGGGGCATCATGATATTTGCTCTCCTATAAGCATGATTACCTATAGATATGTCTCTCCTTTTTTCGGTTTTGTGAGTGATGTCTTTTGATACTATAACTTATGTGTCAACCAAATCTATCTAATAGATAGACTATCCTTATAGTCTTCGACTAACCGTGTGACCTTCATGAAGTCAAACCCACTTTAAGGCTTATTAAAACCTACTTCATTATGTTTGGAAGCACTAGAAATAGACATGAGGATTGTTAATTTTATACTTCTATAAAGTGGAAAGATAGCCTTTTGATGGTTTTACCTGGTTAGGAAAGAGGACTAGGTGAAGGAGTGGCGAGATGAGTTATTCACGGTAGGCTATATCGATGTCCTATCATGAGAAAAAACATGGATGTTTATGGATGACTCTCTTTTTGAATAAATTTGACTAATAATTACAACCATATTGTTATTATAATGGAGAAAGAGGAGGAGGAGGAGGTATAATCAAGACTTTAAAAATCAAGAGAAAATCATACAAGATCAATTTATTAGCCAAATGGTAAAGTATGGGTCCACATCCTATGGGTATTAGAATTATCTTTATTCTTATTTTTTATTTAACTATGCTTGTCATCCGAGATTAATATTGTATCGCTTTTTACATGTAATATTAAAAGAGTTGGTTCTTTTTCTATCGATCTAAATAGGAAGAGCAACATATAGTCCCTTTTTATGATAATCGAGGATCTTTTTTTTTTTTTCCTAAACATGAATATTTTTCCTTTTCTTTTAAGGATGGGTTTAGAAGTGGAGGTTAGGATAAAAATTATGGTATTGATCCTTCACCTCTTGTCCTTAAGTCGTATCCTTAAAGAGATGATAGAGGGGGAAAAGGCCTTGCTTATAGAGAGAACTACATTTAGATTAAAGAAAAAGCCTTCGAGGGCTTTATGCCCTACTGTCTTAGTGAATGGAAAGACTTCGGGTCCATGAAAAAAAGAAGAACCTAACGTCCCTTCTTCCTAAGTGAAGAAGTTTGTTTGCTCTAAAGGGAAAGAAGTTGTTATCCTTTCTAATGAAGAGGTCTCTTCTTTGCATCATCTAACAGAGAAATAAATATATAGGTGCTATTTAAGAGGTTGATTTCTTACCTAGCATTCTCGTCCTACTTGCCTAGAATCGAAGGAATTATAAGTTAGCTTTTTTGGTGATGACCCTTTTTTTTAAGGCCCCGGAGGGGTTAAGGTCAATCGAGCTCCTAGAACATTTGATTCAAATATCAAGGAATGTCAAAAATATAAGGAACTCATCCTTGATTGACCAAATGAGGATGACTATCATGTAAGCTACTAGCACAACTTTTTTTTTCCTTGTTGTGCATCATCATTTCCTTATACTTTTTTTTAAACTAATTTTCTTATGTTTTTGCAAATATTGCAACTTCAACCTATAATTATGCAAGGTGGCAAACTCAAAAGAATGAATCAAATAAGCTTAACCAACTTATTGATAGATTGTAAGGAGATTTGGGTGATCATTTAATGGTTGTAGGATCCATTTGTTTAGAATTGGAAGCCAAACTAAGATACTTGGAGGGTTTACTACAGGAGACATTAGAGGCCAATGATGTTACTATAAGTATCTTAGAATAAGCCTTGGAATAAAGAGAGAGAAAAATATAGGAAAGTCTGGAGAGCATATTGGCCTATAGGAACAAAAATTTAAAGGAATTGTAGGTCGAAATAAGGCATTTTAATAGGATTGGAGATCACATAAATGATTTTTTGATGTGTTTTTAAGGATCTTGAGATCGAGGAATGCCTCCGTAGACTTTATGGTGGATACTTTTGTTGATGTCCACTTCTTTAATAAGTCTAAAAAAATTATTGTGTATTTCTTCAAGGTATTTGAGGAAAATAAAGTCATAAATTTTGACTCGATATTTCCTAGTCATTCTATAGTCAAAGTTAAAGGGGTATATTTGGTTATTAGATCTTATCCCATAAAAGTTCCTTTAACTCCTAACTATCCTTTTAATGTCGTACATTCTATTATAGTAAGGATTATCAAAGCTTTTGGAGGTAATTTTGATGTTGAAAATAGTTTTGAATGAGCTTTAGAGCATCTAAAAGAATTATAATATTATGTTACTTTTAGGGTCTTTTATGTGTAATTAATGTTTAAGAATTGTTCTCTTGAGAAAATGGGTTATCTAACCCTTTTTTGAATTCTTCCTTTATTTTATTTCATCATTTTTTATGTGTTTGTTGTTTATTATTTTGTTAAGTGGATCCAAAATCCATCTAACTATAGCAATATATTTGATAAGTTTATGTTTTTCTTAGGTAGATGGAGAGTCGGTAAATAGGTATGCTCCTTAACAGGTATGACATCTAACTTTTTGGGGGGAAAATAATTTTTTATTCTTGAATGAATATGACCTTAATCTTTTTCCTTGAAGGTGTAGTTATTTATCCATCAAAGTATGTGGTTGTGGACATATTCATAGGATTTGATCGTTTGTCTCCGAAAGGATATAATTGTGAATTTTCTCATGGTGATTTAGTAGTCCATCCCCCGAAGAATATAGTTGTAGACTTTTTTATAGGATTTAGTTGTTAATCCCTTAAAGGATATAGTCATGAACATTTCTTGTAGGATTTGGTTGTCTATCCCTTGAAGAATATGGTCATAAACTTTTCCGTGGTGATTTGATCGTCACTCCCTTAAAGGATATGGTCGTAGATTTTTTTATGGCATTTGGCTATCTATTTCTTAAAGGATATGGTTGTGAACTTTTTCCATAGAGATTTGGTCATGTGCTCTTTGTAAATGATGGAGCTTTCTTTTAAAAGTTTTTTCAAGATAAACCATACGTGATTTATTAACGGTACACCTTTATATGGTTAGAATGCCATACATGCGATAACTTCTTTTCATTTGCATCTTGTTAATAATAACTTTGGCTTTGCCAATCCGTACTATTTTTGTAGGGACCATCCCATTTAGAAGATAATTTTTTATTTCTTATTTTTAGCGTTCTTAGTGATTTCTAGCTTTTTTAAGACAAGGTCTCATATGAAAAAACAAAAAGCATGTTTTTGACCTTGACATTGTTTTATTATAAGGTCTTTTATATGTATGCCTCATTCTTTATTAAGACAACTAAATAGGTTTTTTTGAGAATGTCCAAGCTAACTCTCATTTCTTGATTTTTTTCTTCTAAATATTGCTATATTTTGTGGTTGGAATAATCAATTTCTATAAGGATCATGACCTCCACCTTATAGGTTAGGAAGAAGAGAGTTTTCCTAGTTAAGGCTTTCTTATTCATCTTGTATGCTTATAAAATTCCATTTAGAAGATTTTTTCATCCTTCATTTGCTTCCTTAATCTTTTTGTTGAGATATTTTAGAAGGATTTAATTGATGAGCTCGATCTACTTATTGGTTTGAGGATGATACACGAATGAGAAAGGATGGTCAATATGGAGCCTCTAACGGTGTTCTTTCATCTTTTTATTATCGAATTAAGGGTCGTTATTAGTTATAAGAACTTTAGGTAAGCCAAAATGATATAATATTTTTCTATATAAAAGATATAACTTTTCTAGCCTTAATATCTGCTAAGCCTTCTACCTCTATCTATTTAGAGAAGTAGTTGATGGCTATTAGGACAAACTACCTTTGATTAGAGGATTTAGAAAGGTATCTAGGATGTCCATTTCTTACTATGAGATCCATAGTGATGATATATAGGTTATTTTTACAAAAAACTAGCATAAGACAGAGCTAAAATTTGATTTTTTTTTGATGTTTTGATTAGGGATTCCATGTCTCTAAGGATCTTGGGCTAATAGAACCCACAAGTGGCTAAGAAAGCTAAAAGTTTTATGCTTCGTATGTAGATCACATACCCTTTTATGCATTTTATGAAGTACATATTAGGTCTCTTTAAGGGAAATGCATTTCAATAAGGTGCTTATAGTGGACCTTTGATAATGTTGGCATTTATAAGGCAATACTTGTATACATTTTAGAATAGGAGGGTAGTTTTCATCC